ATAAAGATCTACTGGAATGGTTGACATTTATATCAATACTTTTATAAGTATATGTACCAAAGTATCGGTACTTTAGGAATTTAAAAGAATTGTAATAATAGCACTTATAAAGTATCGATACCTTAGACACATGTAACGAAACATGACAATATAACAGGTTGAAATTTGACAAAACCGATTTTAATTTGACAAAACATGTAAAAAGCTACCGGAATTGTTGAAAGTATCGATATGTTTAAAAGTATATGTACCAAAGTATCGATATTTTAGGAATTTAAAAGAATTACAATAATAGCGCCTATAAAATATCAATACCTTAGACACATGTATCGATACATGACAATATAACGGGTTGAAATTTGACAAAACCGATTTAAATTTGCCAAAATTGGTAAAGAGCTACCAGAATTGTCGAAATTATCGATATGTTTATAAGTATATGTACCATAGTATCGATACTTTAGGAATTTAAAAGAAATGAAAAAAGAAAAACGCCTAGAAAGTATCGATATCTTACAAAAAAAGTATCAACACTTGGGGAATGATATCAATTAAATATAAATAACATAATCGGTTAAAATATCAAAGGCATTGCTAACAGAGAATTTGAAGGGGCATTACGTTCTGCGAAATAGATAGAAGAAGGTCGTTGTTATTGAAATCGAAGCATAATAGTTGATGCGAAATAGAAGCAAGGCGTTTTTATCAGTATAATGAAATAGACGTAAATGTACGAGTATCGATACTTATAATTTCAAAACTTTTTACTTTAAAGTAATAGGTAAATTAACAATGTACACAATAATATGTTGATAATATTAAAAACAAATTAAGTAATTAACCTATTTTATTATCGTCAGATTTCTAAGGCCCCATTAACTTTAAACAGTCATTACCTATTATATTAAATAAGTGTTACTTGTTATGTTATTATGGTTGATAATGTTTCTAGTGATTAACATATTTTGTTATCGTCAGATTTCTAAGGCCCCATCAGCTTTAAACATGAGCTACTTATTACATTAAATAAGAGTTACTTGTTATATTATTATGGTTGATAATGTTTCTAATAATTAATTGGTTTTGTTATCGTCAGATTTCTGAGGCTCCATCAAATTAAAATTTGGTAACTTTTTAGGCGTTCCTAATATGTTGATAATATTGAAAACAAATTAAGTAATTAATCTATTTTGTTTTTGTCGAATTTCTAAGACACCATCAGCTTTAAAAAGACGCTACTTATTAGGTTAAATAAGCACTATTTGTTAAGTTATTATGGTTGATAATGTTTTCAGTAATTAACCGGTTATATTAAACTCAAAAAAAAAAATTGCGCATTTTATATACAACAATGATATTGCCGATTATTACCATTATTATTATCAACACAAATAATATTTCCGGTGAAAACATATAACATTTACGATAACATTTTTAACCGATAATTTATTTAATCAATCATGTTATTTTTTAGGTGTATTTTAAACGCGGCACAGCACAATCTCCCAAGGATCCAAGGTAACCCTTGCGTTGGCTTGTGGGTCGCCGCCATCATTGGGTTTGCTCTGCAACTTCATTTGGAGAATATGAATTATGACGTTTAGGATTCTCTATTAGTTTTTTTTTTATTTTAGAAATGAGATGATTGGATATACTTGAATATTATGTTTCTTAATTTGCATATTTCCTTTTTTTTAAGAAAATCATTTTTCCTTTTTGAACCTTTACTTACAAAGAAAATAAAACTTGGAAGTTGGAATGGGGGAATTATTGTTGTGGACCTTCTTGCATTGCTTTCACGAAGGAACAAAATGAAAATGTAACTTATTCTAAATTGGTATAACGATAAAATTAGCACTTAACGTCTATCCATTCTTTTTTTTAAAACAAATATTTTGACTACAACATTTTATTTTAAGATAAAAAAATTATTCTAAATTTACATAATTGTTAATGTTTCATATTGACGTGACATGTTTACGTGGATTAGAAGGTTGATGTGAAGTTTTCATTTATGATGTCATGTAAATATTTTTTAAAATATTAATTAATTGCATATGATTATTTTATTGAATTAATAACAATCACTCAATAAGCTTATTAATTCCATTGGAGTCATTATTTGGTTTGTTCTCAATTCCTTAATTTTAAATCAATAACATCATGTCATGTGTCATCCTTTGATTAATTGTTATACTTTAATAAAAATAATTATTTATAATTAATTTTTTCTAACATGACATTTCATAAATATATATCATGTCAGTAAGAAACACTGACGGTTAATCAAGTAACGATTTTCATCCAAACATAAGGTATTTTGTCTCAAAATAAAATGTTAAGGGTTAAAATACTTAAAAAAGAATATTCAAACATTAGCTACTAATTTTATTATTATGCCTTCTCAATTTATAATAAACAATAAATTTAATATCTGAATTAAATATATAATGATTTTAAGAGATAAAATATAACATAAAAACTATATACATGAGATACATTATACAAATAAAATTTATTAACAAAAATAATAAAATAAATGCATAGGAATTATTCTCGTGGAACGCGTTGAACGAGAACCTCTCGAGACCTGACCCATTATGATGAGAGCGCTGAATCTAATGATCTCTGCGTTGAAGATGAAACCGGTCAGTGTGATCCCATTTTTATTCTATTTGAGGAATCAAACAAAAAGCTTATTCCAATCTGAACAGTAAACATCAAAATATGTGACACGTTATTGTAACATATATTTTTTTGATTTGTCAAAAAAGCATATATATCTCTCGGTTACTATTAATTTAGTAAGAGAAATATTAAATTCTTTAAACGAAATTAAAAGTTTAAATTTTAACATTCATAAATACAATAAATTACTTATTAGACTTTTATAAAACCCGAACTGAACTAATCTCTTAGAAGATAGATAATTCAAAAAATATATGTATAGGTTTCGCTACTCACGTTATTAATTCTTTATATCATTTTATTATAGTTTCGTTGCACGACAGTGTAAGCCACGTGCGAGTTTATAAACCAATCACCGCAACAGCTTTTCCAAACAGGTAAGGGAATACATCTTGTATACTTGTTCAAGTTTAAAATGATATTTGAAATTTTGGAGAGTTTAGATAAATATATTAAGTTTAAAATTTAAATAAATTAAAAAATATTGAGTTCGGACTCTAATATTTTATTTTTAAATACTATATAATATATATGAGAAAAAAATCCATTAATAAATTTAATGTTGAACTTGAACCAGCACGAGCTTAGTAGGCATAATTTTAATTTCCGTTGGGCCGAAGTCGCTTGGACCAATCATCTATTAACTGGATGAGTAGGCTATGTACATCAATACCTATGGGCCTTACTGTAAGCATCATCCCAATACATTTATAAAGTTTAGGGTTATTATACAAATCCGTACCTGAATTAGATATTGTTTTTCAAATTGATATTTATTTATTTTTTTATCTCAATTTAGTATCTGAACTTGGAAAAATTTCTTAAATTAGTACCTATTAGGATTTCAACAACCAATCAAATTATGAATCATAATACTAAACGACGTTAATGTTTTGACTGATCAATACCACACATTAGCAACTTGAGTGATTGTTGTAATCCACGACATCATCAAATAACAATTTGACAACAAATTTCAGAAATCAATTTTTTCTAAATTACTAATTTTAAATGCCAAGTTTATAATAATAGGTTCAAACTTTAAAATTAGTAAAAAATAAAGCTCTGGCCTTGATATTTGATGCTACAAGTGGACTAATGGGCGGGTAACGTAGACTATCCAGAGTTTTGATGGTGCAATCAGAACTTTCAACTTTCCAGTTTCCAAGAGAACTAAGATTTTTCTTTTTAAATGCAGAAATGAAAAGAAAGCACTAGACGATTGAAGAAAGACATTTTAAGTCTACCAGCAATATAAAAACCCAAGGACGGAGGCTGATTATCAATTATTTATTTAGGTTTTTACATTCTTTACCTGTAAGACTATTTCCTTCATTCTCTACTCGGTATCCGCTAACTATGAGGTGAGCATATTAATTATTTCTTTGATATTATTTATCCTTTTTGGTATATAAATTTTGTTTTAAAAGTTATTAAGTAGGTTAGTTAATTAACTTTTGGGGGAAATTCAGCAGTGTTTTAATTAGGTTGCTTTGTCTGGGATAGTTACATTAGCTATTGCTTCGTTTGCGTACGTGTTGCTTTGAATCGTGATTTACTAATTATGGTGGGTTTTCTTTTTTGGGTTGTAGTCGTCATCCTGATGTGAAGTGGGCTGAAAGAGCTGACAAGGTTTACATTTACAGTGGTATTACCTGATTCTAAGAATGCAAAGGTCAATCTTGAACCAGAGGGAGTCTTTACTTTCTCTGCTGATGCAGGAGCTGACGATAAGCACTATGAGTTGGAGTTGGATCTTCATGATAAGGTTAACGTGGAGGTGAGATTACTGGTCTACTGCTCTTATTCAGAATCTATGATACATTTTATGTCATTTTTTTATTGGATATTTGAGTTTAGGGTTTTGATTATTATGAGTGAAGTATTATGTTGTTTTGTTTTGTTGGTTGGCATTTAAATGAACTACTGATCACCTGTTAGTTGGCTATTTGTCCTCTGTATTCAATTTTCTTTACGAAGCTGGCTAGATTTTGTCAACTCAATTAGGTGTATTATACACTTTGTGAGGGGTTTTCGATTCTTTCAAAGGAAGTTTTTGAAGTGTAGTTTGTTAAAAACTTAATTGCGGATCGCTCAATAGGTGTGGTATTGTGTTCTCAAAGCATTTATATGTAGTTTTTGCTACTGCAAAATACCCTTGATGTATGCATCTTAGGAAAAACGCTGTGTTTTACTAACGTCTGTTAATTTTGATATTAATGCGAAGCAAACGATTAATTCATGTTTATTGGTTCTTTCCTTCTAAACAATCAGGAAAGCAAAGTAAATGTAGGAGTGAGGGGCATATTCCGCATCTTGGAGAAGGCTGAGAAGAAGAAGTGGAAAAAATTATTGCGTGAGGGCGTCAAGACTCCCCATTATGTCAAAGTGGACTGGGACCAAGTGGGTGGATGAAGATGAAGACGCTGGTGGTGGTAAGTGTTGCAATTAATTTGTTTTTTCTTAGTTCTTGATGATTTCATTTTAAGCTGACAACCTATTGATTGGAATACTTTTGATTAGGTATTGGTGATATTGATTTGGGAGGAATGGACTTCTCGGTATGGATACTATCTGCATTTTTCTATGTTCAGTAGTAACTAGCGAGTATTTTTCTTCTGACCCAATACTTGCGGCGTTGTGCAGAGCTTTGGCAATATGGGAGATATGGGTGATGGTGGCATGGCCAATTTTGAAGACGATGAAGGTAATGATGCTGCAAGGCCGCCTTCTGAGTTATATTCTGCCAGTGATTAATTTCCTTCGATGGTCATTGGTCTGGATTTTGGCTAAACTTTTATCTATTTCAGAGCAAGAAGTGGAAAAGCCAGCAGAAGAAGACACTGACAAGGCCGAAGGAGATGCAAAGCTGGAGGAGACTTCGGAGAAAAAGAACATGTACCGAGCACATGATTTCATGTCAGCCGAAGATATTTGAACTTCTCCATGGTTGTGAAATCAAACTGTGCTGCTTTGTAACTGAGTGAGAAGAAAACTTGCATTATCCAGTACAGTAAGATATATGTTTCTATGTAGTGGATGGGAACTATCTTTACAACATGAATTAGGGTGTTTTCTATTTGTACCTTTGGATCATTTGTTCGATGGACATACGTTTAGAAATGGGAATATGAGACCTGGATTTCATCTCATCTCCTTCTGCAATCTTATTTCCCCAGTTATTTGTTTTGGATCATTTCTCAGTAGAAAAATTATGTTGCTTAGCACATTAGCTTCCATGGAGGACAGGAGTTTACCATTTAAAACCTCTATTGCCCTCTAGTGTCATATCACAAATTTGGACAACTAAATAAATTCACTAGCAGACAGGTCTCAAGCAAGTTGACAACACAAATGGCCGAAGATTGATCATTTAATTTAGCACGTATTTAACAGTAAATCAGCTTAAAAGTTACAAACGCAAAAAGGAGAGAAGACAAAATGACAGACCACAGTAAATCATCCTTAATCGGGTTCTGCAAGTGAACGTAATATTTTGCACTTAATGCGACCACTCTCTTAGAATTAACCCACCAGATGAACTCAGCTCTTAGTTGTGCTTCAGACAACAGCGAAGTCACCCTAAAACAATCAGCATCGACCTCGACCTGACACCAGAATGAAAAATTGCAGTACATCAGTTTGAATTTGTGAAATTTTAAACCATCAATGAAAGATTATTCATTATCTAAGTCATAAAAACCAATCTGCAAATAGTTTTTTTTTTGTAAAGCCAGAACACTTGTACACACATTTGTGCAGACTACTTTCTCAGCAAATTTACCTCTGCTTCCAGTAGTCTTTCCACCTGGACCATCCCTGCCTCTGCCTCCAGCTGCACCCTTAGGACCATCATCTAACCCACGCCCAACTCCTTTAGGTTGCCTTCCACCAGGACCATCTTCTCTTCCACCTCTACCTCTTCCACGGCCTACACCAGGAGGCTTCCTATCTGAAAAGGTCAGCAAAATCTAACAGCCAAGTTTAGAACTCAAGTTTTCAAATGCACGCATCTCGAATGTAATTAATGAGATCAACCTCGAGGGCAATATGGTTGGTACCAAATCAGAGTTTTCTAGATGTACACAGGAAAATTATCCTTTAAATTCCGAGATACAATTAATATAATAGTACAACATATGTTGTTGCAATCCAACTCCTCAGAGGAACATCCTCCTTGTACCCCAATTCTACTTAAATGAATACAAAGGTAGCGAATGATCCATCCCTAGTCTATTACTAGCTAACAAGATAATTAAATCATACCTGCACGGCTCTTTGTTTCTTCCTGAACTTTATCAATATCCTGAAATTCAACGATGAAGTCAACAAGATTAATAGATTCATGAAATAAGCTACTAAAATGATTAGACGACAGAACAAAAATACAAACCAAGCAACGATATTCACACTGAGTTCAATATTTGGCAGGTGAAACACAGGTGATAAAGTAAGAAAGACCTAATGTTTGTCTTCCTTTAGGACGAAGATGTTTTATTGCTTTCTTAAAAAATAGAGAGGATCGTTACCTATTTAAGTGTAGAAGGAAAAAGATAACTATTTTTTAACGCCACATAGCTTCTTCAAAATAATTTAGCTAGAAGTCCACTACTCTATGGTTAATGAAGGCAACCAAGAAGCCTTCACAAAAGTTGGCAGATGAATGCAACTAACAAGGTGACAAACACTTCTACCTAAGAAACCAAACATACAGCACACACAAGAGTAGTCAGTAGTCAGTACCTCATCAGGAACTCGAAGTCGAAGATACTTGATCGTATTTCCACGGATATAACATTCAGGCATTCGCCAAAACCTGTCTCTATCCTACAATATATTTTCAATTGAACCCAACCATAATTTTAAAAAGTTAAAAAAAAAAAACAATATATTAAGGCATTATGCCATTACTCCTTGCAACTAGTGAGGAAAATATTTATAAAGAAAAAACAAAACATAGAATGGATTCATAGTTGTACCTTCGAAGTACAAATAACTTCACGAAGATGGATGTTCATTATAGGTCTCCCCATTTTTTGAGCTCCACCAGCTGTTAGTGAAAGAAAAAAGATCAACAAATGAAGCAAAATTTCTGCAGGGTAAGTTTGAGAACAGGCAAGCAAGGGAAATAATGGAGTTACCATAGGAAGGTCCTGAGCTGTTTTTAGTAGAGAAAGAGGAAGCTGCACAACCAAGGTTTACGTATACATGAAACAGGTTAGCCAAGGAAAGAAGATCAAATATTAAAAAAGCATTACAGAGAAACCTAAATTAACCCAAAAACCCATTGACAGAATAAAAAAGTTGATTTCTTTTTCTCCTCTATTTCCCCACTTTTCCAGGGAATATCTAAGCAACCAAACAGACAAGCAACAATGTTAATTGAAGGGCGTAAGATACCATCTTTATGTTGGGAATGAAGTAGAAACCTGGCGAAGAACAAAAAGAGCCTGCGAGGAGAAAAAAGCGAAAATTTAAGGAAAACATCAAGAGAAATGTCAATAAGTATGGTGAATATAAGCATTTGAGGACACCTCGGAATTGTAATCTTATCTATGGTAGATCAATTACGCCTTAACCCTAAACCTTAAAAAGGACTATGGAATCAATGGGCATAGAACCCTAACTACAAGAGGGGAGGTAGATCGAAAATACCAACAGAAGAGAAGACCGTGCGGGTGACGTCAGCAGGACAATATTTTGCGAAGCTAACTAGAGTTTATTCACGGCAAATTTATACTTACTTTTGGGTAAATTACACCAAAAACTACTGAGTTTTTGAATCGGTTATTAGTAAGCTTACAAATGAGTTATCATATTTTAAAAAGTTACAGTTGAGTTACTAAATTAATTGAAGTCAACTTAGTGTTAAAAAGTCACTTGGAGAGCCTTTGAATTTTCGTCCGAATCATTTAAATTCAATCTAAAGTTTAGAGACCATTCATACATCGAGTAGACGATTCTAAAAGTAAAATTTCCACTTAAGCCGAGATTCAATTCGAGTAGATTTGATGACACCCTTAATCCATTTTGTACTTTCTTTGTTTTACTTTGAACATGAAAAGAAGGGAAAAAAAAGGAAAAAGTATCTGCATACGTATTTTATTTTAGGACATGAACACTACAACAAAACTGTTATGTAGCGACGTTTTTAGCGGCGTTTGGAGAGTAAACGTCACAAAATTTAAATATATAGCGGCGTTTACAATTCAAACGCCACAAAATGATACTTAGCGGCATTTTTTAAACAGCTATTGAGTAGTACTTTAGCTACGTTTTTACTTAAAACGCCGCTAAAGACTCATACTTTAGTGGCATTTTAAGACAAACGCCACTAAAGTATTACTCTATCGCGGCGCTTATATAAAAACGCCACGAAAGTATGAGTATTTAGCGGCGTTTATGCTTAAAACGCCGCTAAAGCAGGAGTATGTAGCAGAGTATTTAGCGACATATATAAAGCACTTCATCATCATCATATTAACAAAAGTTTTTATCTTTATTTCTACAAATGACACTTGATCTTTTCACAAATCGTAAGACCTTTGTATGTGTGTATATATATATAGTAACACTATTTTCATCAAACACCTGCGGCAACTTCGCTGATCAAAAGCCAAACTTAGGTGTGGCTCCAGGAACCCGAGAATATCATGGTCCGTATGGGTTCTTCGGCATAGTGGCTCGAGCTTCGTCTCTCAATTTCTTTCAAGATGGGAACCCTATGCCCTCTTTGAACTCCATTCTTAGCCATGACATCCATGGCCGCCTCGCATACTTGCTTCAACTTTTCCTTAATCGTTCCCTTCAATTCAGCGATCATTTGAGGCTTCATATATGCTTTAAATCAATGCCTCTTTTTTGTGACTTTAGGGTAATATATTAGAACCATGCGATGAACAAATGTTTGTATATATAGAAAACGCCTAAAGGCAAAAAGATGCCATGGGTAGGACCATGCAATGAACAAATGTGGGTGGTAGGACCATATTTTCCTTTCAATAAGATAGGATTAGATTCCCACATGCTTTTGTATCAAATGACAACTGGGATCAATTTTAGGTTGTGTATCTTTGTTACTTGTCATTTGGTTATTGGATATATTGGAATCATTTTTTAAAAAAAATAATAATTTTGGTTTTCGTCTTTTACTAAGATAAAGTTAGGGTTTCTGTTTTTATATAATTTAATTTTACATACTTTGATCTTACACTTCTATAACATTGTCTGTTAGTGTAAATAGTTAAACTGAAATGATGACATGGAGTCCATTCTCTTTTAAAACATCCATTTATTATTTCCAACTCATCATGTTGATATTTTTTTTCCTTAAATGTTAAAATGGGTGTGTGTTTCTGAAAATCCATATAAGCATTTTAATTAGAATAATTAACTTCTATTAATTATTGGATAAAAAAAGATGGGTGCATGCATGCAATCTCAGCACATGCTCAAATTTGAGAATTAAACTGTTGTTTTTCCCTCTAATTTTTACATAGTTTGATCTCACCGTTAAAGTGCTATATCCTTTAAAAATCTTTTTTACTGTCAATAATTAATCCAAATATTAAAAGGTAAAGTATTTTGGTCACTTAATTTTAAAATTTTAAATTTAATCACTAAATTCTTAATTGTTTCTATTTTGATCACTTAATTGCTAAGTCGAAAATATGTGAACACAATCCATATAGTTATCTTAGAATTGGAAAATGTGCAATTTTACAGCAAAGGATTATTCCATTTTGGTATTCAACATGTTATATATTCTTCGCCATGTGTTAAGATGCCCCTCTAAAATTCGAATTTGCCTTTTGGAGTACCTAAATATACGCGTATATATATATATATATATATTGGAAAACTGACAAAACTTTGTGGATAGTGGGGACAGTAGTTTACGGGTATATTATTTCCTTAAAACTCTCATATTTGAGCAGCTTTATATTATATTGCCGAATATTAATAAAGTTTATGAATAGATATTATACTTACAATCATCTTAGACTATTAAATTTTGTTATTATTTATTTATCAAATAAATGAGTTTAAATAATAATACTTTCTATTTATTTATATCGACAAATAAATTTATTTATTAGTTTGTTTATAGATTTATTTATAAATCAGTTTACTTAAATTTAATATTTTTATAAAAATATATTTTTAAATATTCATGTCTATTTTATAATATAATTATTAATATTTATGTTTAACTATTTTATATTTTAAAAATAAGAAATTAGTTTATTTAAGGTTAATTTTTCTATTATTTATACGAATATAATTTAGGGTTATTATTCCATACATCAAAGTAAAATATATATATATATTTCATGAATGGAGTTCTAACATTGTCACGTATCTTATTTAGGGATCAAGGGTTAGAGCTTTAGGTTTTATGAAGTAAAATTATAATTCATAGTTCAAAATTTTAGAAATTATATTTTGGGGTTTAAAGTCGTTAAATATGACACATGACAACATTAGAATCTCGATTGTAAAGTATTTTGTGTCCACTGTTCGTGCATAAAATAATTATTTTATATCTATAATTGTTCAAGAGCATATTCAATTATATGTTCATTAGTATATGTTTGTTAACTTTACAATATATTTTAGTTTTTTTACTGATAAATCGTTCATCTCTTTTTCTTTTTTTTTTCTTGTTGATTGGCGACAATACCAACTTTGATGTTGATTACCGATCGTTGGTATTCTTTATTGTCCTTTTATTTTCTCTTGTTTTTTATTTTTAAATGGATCAGACTGTATAACACGTTTTCCTTTGTCTTTATAGCACATTTTCTTATGTCTTTTGTTTTTCAGTTGTTTGGTCGTTGTTTTCATTTATCATTTTCTAAAAGTTGATTAGACATCGCAACGACTTATAAAGATGACGCTTATATGTTATATTGTTGATATTCCCTGCTTTGGACCTTCGGATTTGATTTGGATACCCATTATGCGTTCGTGGATAGCTTCTCACGTCGTCTGAGTCTGGTTTGCGGTTTATCAATGGTCTTTCAGTAGCTTGATTCCCTTTTGTGGTTCGTTTGCCAATGCGATCAGATCTGTTTGTATCCATCTTTATTCGAGTTTTCTTGATTGTATTTTAATCTTTATTTGTATGGTCCTTATGTGATCTTAAGTTTCTAGTTTTGTTTCAATGATTATAAGAAATTGTCCTAATTATATGTTTAATTTACGATTATGATTATTATTGTAAATCTTTATTGTAATTTAGGATATTTCCTATTTTGAATAAAATTAGTGATCTTTAAAAAAATTATTATTTGTAAATGTGGTCCTCATGAGTATGTTTATTTAATTTTTGAAAAAAATGTTCCATTAGTGTTCATTAACTTATTCATTTAATGTTGATGAATATTAAATAAAATAAATATAAACTTAATTTAAAATAAATAAATAGTGGAGATAATTTTAAATTTTAACCAAAAAAAGAAACAGTAGAGAAATAAATTTTAAAATAAAAATAAACTAACATACTTTTATTTATGATTGTCGATGAAATTTTATTTTTATTATATGTAAATTTAACTAATTTTGTAGATTAATGCAAGCCAGGGCTAGGAGACATTGTTGGTTTTTCGGCCTATGGTTTTAAATTTGGGTCCAACAAGAAGAAATTATGAATATATAGAAACAGACACTCGAGCACAAGCCCTCTTATGCCGAGCCTCGATTGATAATTGCAACTACTTCGACAAATTAAATTAACTTTGATCACCTCTCATAAATCACAAAACTTACTGCAAAAATAAAGTACAATAATTAAAAATATCACAGTTTAATTTCTAGAGTTTAAAAATAGAGTATTAAAAATAAGGATTGTTATGAGTCGGGTTATTGGCTCACTCGAATCTAATCCAAAAATTAAAATTTTCAACTGGCACCAAAATTTGACCGATATTTTAGGATAGGACTCATACTTGATCCGGAAAATATATATATATAAATTTTAGGAGAATTCGACCTGATTTTTAGGATAAGACTCGTACTTGATCCGACACACACACATATATATTGTGAAAGATAAAAATCTAATAAAAGAAATGATATATATAAGACTATTATTGTAATTGTCCCTAAATATATAAGAAATAATTATAATATTATATATCGGGTCGGATAATTTTTTTCATCATATTCCTTGAACACGAACCAGACCCAAATCTAAACTTAATTTTTCAACAGAAAAACTTTATTCAATCAGATCAAATTGAAAGTCGGATTCAAATCAAATACTCATTTCTAATTGAAAATGAATTTATAATATTAATAAAAGTTAGATGAAGTGCTAAGATATATATTTTTTCTTAAAAAAGAATTCAAATTTAAAATTTTAAAAAAGTTTTTTTTAGAAAAATATATAATTTTATTTATTCATCAATAATAATATGCTATCATAAATACAAGATGGAAAGCTTATTAAGAAAAATAAACTCCCTATACAAGATCCTACTCTGTATAAAGATTTACTCCCGGTTTACTAAATTAGTTATATTTATAGGCTTACCCTGAAATGCCAATCATACTCTCTCTTTAATACTATAGACCAAATTTTACTTCTGTGTACACTTTCATGTAATTTTAAGAATAGTAATTAACAAAGACTTCTCTTTTAACCGACAATCAGTTGGTTTAGTAAGATGAAA